TATACAATGAAATCACCTTTTGGTCTAATCAGAATACCATTTCCTCTGTATATTTTATCTACCTATAATGAAGCAGTGATTGGCAAAGTCACTTGACTATGTGTCAGGCATTTTAATTATATGGTTGAGACTAGTCCTTTTTTTTTGAGTTGGAGTCTCACTCTATCGCCCAGACTGGAGGGCAGTGGCATTCCTGGCCACCGCAGCCTTGACCTTCTGGGCTCCGGCGATCCTTCCGCCTCAGCCTTCCAAGTAGCTGGAACTACAGGCGCGCGCTGCCACGCCGGATGATTTTTTGATTTATTGTAGAGGTGAGGTCTCGCCTGCCCAGGCGGGTCTCGAACCCATGGGCTCAGGCAGTCTACTCACCTCAGCCTCCCAAAGGGGTGGGATTACAGGCTGAGCCACTGAGCCCGGCTTATACTCACCTCTTATATTTAGATCTGTGAGTCAGTTTGAGTTACTGCTTGTGTATGGTGTGAGGTAGGGATTCTACTGCATTCTTTTGTATGAGGATATGCAGTTGTCCCAGTGGCATTTGTTGAAGACTGTTTTTCCCAATTTAATTGTTTCGTCACACTTGTTGAAATTCCCCATTTGTTGTTAAAAAATACTTTAAGCACTTGGCAATCCTAATTTTTCTTATTTCTAATTTTTCAAAATAGGAAAATTTTAAAATTTCATTTGTTGGAATTTCAGAAAATAGGGGTTTGTGATCTTTAATAGGCTCTGGTTTACTTTAACTATCATTTGTAAACAAGGTTTGGTAAGTAAAAAAAAAAGTATGATTGCCCAGGGTTTATTTAAATTACTTTGAAAAAATAAACTCTAAGTGTATATTTACATAGGAATGGTTTTGTGAACTGTTGTCTAAGTTCTGAAGATTTTTCTTTAGCAGCATTTTGTAGATATGTCAGAAGATCTAAGTTTAGCTACATGCTCTTGAACAAGTCATTTATACTTTTTGGGTCCCATTCTCTTCATCTGTAATTTGAGGATATTAGTCCAGGGTCTTCCTAGATCTATAACTCTAATAGGAGTGTGCTACAGCAGTGGTTTTCTTTTTGTTTTGTTTTGTTTTGAGTTTGAGTCTCACTCTGTCGCCCAGACTGGAGTGCAGTGGCCGCTCCCGGCCACCGCAGCCTCGACCTGCTGGGCTCCGGCGATTCTTCCGTTTCAGCCTTCCAAGTAGCCGGAACTACAGGTGCGCGCTACCACGCCCAGCTAATTTTTTGATTTATTGTAGAGATGAGGTCTCGCCGCCCAGGCGGGTCTTGAACCCGCGGGCTCAGGCAATCCACTCACTTCAGCCTCCCAAAGGCGCAGGATTACAGACTGAGTCACCGAGCCCGGCTACAGCAGTGGTTTTCAAGCCTTAGGTGTTTTAGAGTCCTAGGTGTTAGAGTAAGGCATCTCAGCGACTGTGATTTGGAGGAGAGGAAGAAACTTGCATGTGAGATTCGCCCCCTCAGTCCTGCTTTAATTAAGATGGTTCTGGAAATGATGACTGCTAGAGGAAAGGGTCTCCTGATCCACCTTTTTAGGGCATGTGCTTTAGCTGGTTTTTAAAATTTATGTGCATGTATTTATACTCCTCATGTAGTCTTACTTGATTCCTGTTGTGATGGGAAAGTATGCTTTATTTAGCAAGACCCTTTTACTGGAACCAGGGACTATAGTCTATGCTTAGAATCCTTTAGTGTAGTCACCCTTAATCAGCTGGCTTTTCTTCCACTCCTAACTGGAATAACCTGAGGAAATGAGTAGCTCAGAGAATGGAGCACTTCAAGGAAGGGCTGGGAAAATGTGCAAACCACAGGTTTTGAACAGCCTAGATGGCAGTGTATGGTTTCATGGGGGCAGGAAAGGTTCAGGGGAAAGGAGGCAGAACTCTGGAGAGAAATTCAAAAAAGGCAGTGCAAGACACTAAAGGCAAATTGAGATATGGCCTAGTTTACAGCATTGCCTAACTCTTCAAAACCAGGGTCCTGTTCCCTTGTGTTGTACTCTACCCATCAGTGTCGTAATCAGAGCACTGCAGTCAGTTGGGAAGCTGTGAACCACACAGCCATTCCTAATTGGGCTTAGTTGCTTCTCTTCGGTCTTCACACTGTATTACTGTGTATTGGTCCATTCTTCATCTTGTCCTCAATAAATGATATGAAGAGATCAAAGAGGAAGTATATACATATTTTTGCTGGAGGAAGAGGCGAGTCCTGTCATCTTGTAGTACCTTTAATTTCCTTTCTTTATTTGTAAGTTTTCCCGTTTTTGGATACCTTAAAACCTGTTGTCTTTAAATGCTTTAGGGCCTTATATATTGTATTTTCTGTAAAGAAAAATGTGGACATTGGTGGTCATAAGATATATTCATCTTTAGCCAGGTGTGGTAACGCGCGCCTGTAGTTCCAGCTACTTGGAAGGCTGAGGTGGAAGAATCGCCGGAGCCCGGCAGGTCGAGGCTGCGGTGGCCGGGAGTGGCCACTGCACTCCAGTCTGGGCGACAGAGTGAGACTCCAACTCAAAAAAAAAAAAAAAAAAAGATATATTCATCTATATACTCAAATATTTCCAATCTTTGAACCACGTTTTCTGTATTCTTTTCTGATGCCCTATTTTTCTAAGAATACTCACTTTTGATAATTAGATTGAAATTTAATTGTTATCCCAATTCCCACAACTAGTGTTACTCCATTGCTATACTTTAGAAATGGATTTGCTTTGAAGAATACATTCTCACCCCATTAGGAATTATCGCAGTATAGAAATGTTGTAGAAATCAGCAACCCTGTGTCAAATCCATAATAATTTTTTATTATATTAGCATTGTAAGTTCAACAAAACATCATCGATGTGAACTAATTTGTCATGCTGCTCTGCATTACAAAATATTAGAAAATAAATTTCTGTTTGTGCCCTTTTCTTTTTTTTTTTTTTGAGTTGGAGTCTCACTCTGTCGCCCAGACTGGAGTGTAGTGGCCGCTCCCGGCCACCGCAGCCTCGATCTGCTGGGCTCCGGCAATCCTTCCGCCTCAGCCTTCCAAGTAGCTGGAACTACAGGCGCGCACTACCACACCCGGCTCATTTTTTGATTTATTGTAGAGATGAGGTCTCACCAAGTTGCCCAGGTGGGTCTCGAACCCCCAGGCTCAGACAGTCCACTCACCTCAGCCTCCCAAAGGCGCGGGATTACAGGCTGAGCCACCGAGCCCAGCTGTGCCCTTTTCATTTTGTTTTTTTTCCAGGTCAGAGTTCTGCTGGACTTGTATGTTACACATTTGTATGAGATACAGAGGTTGAGTATCTTTTATCCAGAATGGCTTAAGGCCAAAAGTATTTTGGATTTTTTTCAAACTTTGGAGTATTTGCACTTATGCTTACCAGTTGAGCCTCCCAAATCTGAAAATCTGAAATGCTTTAATGAGCTTTTCCTTTGAGCATCATGTCAGCACTCAAAACTTTGGATTTCGAAGCATTTTGGATTTTCAGGTTTGGGAGGCTTAGCCTGTACTTGAAAGCAGTTTATTTCATCTAATTAAATATGGCTCCTGCAGTCTTTTTCTTTATGAATTTGTTTGATGATTTGTGTTGACAATGCCAATGGTAATATCAGCCATTTGAATGATTACAAATTCGAAGAGGCTAGAGGTTTGGTTTGTTTCTTTGATTCATAGAGGAATATAGATCATGTACATTTGTTAAGCACTTTGCCTTTTAAAGCACCTTCATAAACTTGATTTTTCTTCCTCCTATTGCCTGTGTCATAGAGGGCATCACCACTCTTCTCCACATGCCACCACCCCCCTCCCCAGCTTTTCTCTTGAGCTGTAGCTTGAGAGGAACTTGGTAACAAGAAGAGCATATTCCTTTTACGGCTCCTCAATCTGATCAGCATTTAGTGTGTTTTCAATGCTTTGCTCATTTGCTGGATTTCATTATGCCAACTTGTGGGATTAAGAGAAAAACTAATTGTATTGTCAGCTTTGGGGATTTGTGTTTAGTAATTGCCTGTGTTCTTATTTCATCTGTGACTTGAAAATGAGGTATACTCATGACTTGAAAACAATCTTTTTCTATGTAATCAATAATATTTATTAGTTTGCAAGTGCTTCTGTAAACACATGACTTCTAATTGCCAGAAAACCTCTCTTTTTTTTTGAAGAATTGCATTGACAATCATTAGGCCATAGCTGAAACTTACTCTGTTTACCAAACAACTAATTTTCTTCCCACTATATCAAAAAGAAAATTCTTAAAAATTAGCTTATTAGTAATTAACAAGTGAAAGTAAAACTACAATTTAGTTCAGTGATGAGGTTAAATTTTCACTAGCCATTTTAACCCTTTTTAAGAAATTTTTTTTTTTTTGCAGAAGTATATGAGATGGGTATGTTTGTTTCAAGTCAAGTTGAAGATTACATTCTTCCTTTTGAGTTACAAATTTTGCAAATCATGGTTTTTGGGGTCCTTCAATAGTTGGTTTGTTTCTCCTCACTGACTGAGAAATCATTTTTCTGGAAAGTATTTAGATAGAAAAATAACTTTTAATTCTTAACTGTTCAGCTTCCATAGAGACTGCACTTCCGGCTCTTGTTGTTCCCATCTTGGAGCCCTGTGGTAATTCGGAGTGTCTGCACATTTTTGTAGATTTGCATTCTGGAATGTTCCAATTGATGCTTTACGGACTTGGTAAGTTACTAGATGATATAATTAATTACTCAATGTAAGAAAAATATATTTGACAGAAGGAAAATTAAAACTTTCTGCCATTAGGTTATTGGAAGGGATGGTGTATACGAGTGTGGAAAGTAGATATGGAAAGAATAACTGATTGATGTCAGTTGCTTGGAACCCCCCCCCCTTTTTATTTGAGTCGAAGTCTCACTCTGTTGCTCAGGCTGAAGTGCAGCAGCACGCTCACAGCCACCGCAGCTTCGACCTGCTGGCCTCAAGCGATCCTTCTGCGTCAGCCTTCTAAGTAGCTGGAACCAAAGGTACGTGTTACCACGCCCAGCTAATTTTTTTAAACTTATTGTAGAAACGAGGTCTTGTCAGGTTGCCCAGTCTGGTCTTGAGCCCCTGGGCTCAGACAGTCCTCTTGCCTCCGCCTCCCAAAGTGCTAGGATTATAGACATGAGCTACTGTGCCACATTGGAGCCCTATTTTAACTCTTCTGTGGATTTTCTTGTAGCAGAACTTAAATTTCCCAGTATAAAACACATTTGTATTTTGTTTTGTTTGGTTTTAAAGTAAAAGTAATGCTGATGACTGGCGTATTTTAGGTTAACTTATCTATTCAGTCAGTAGCTCAATTTCTATTTTGCCACTGATAGTTCAATGACACGGCGATGACTACAAGAAATTCTAATGTCATTTGTAGCTGAAGAACGAACATATTTATGACAGTAGAAGTATCTAAGATGACTTGGGGAACAGTCCTGGGGGAAAATATTTTTTTTCTGGCTTAAACACAATACAAAGTTTGATTTATAACTTGTTTTGTTACTGAGTTGATGTTCTCAAATGATGAAATGGTGAGAACTTAGTGTTTTTGTATTGCTATTAGAATAGTGTTCTTGAGTATATTAGCACATTTGCCATTTAAAGTAAATATTAAGCAAGATAGATTGAAAATAAAGGGTTTTCTGGTTATGTTGTATGGCAAGAAAGATTTTTTTTTCCTATGGGCTGCTCATAGAAAACTGGACTCATTACTTAGAATGACATCACATTTATGATGACTAAACTACACATTTATGAATTCTTTTAACCATGGTTCCAGACAAACAAGGCAATTATTTTTTCTTTAAGACTTCAACTGTTTACCTGATTATTAACAGTACATAATAATAAATAAAAAACCTAAGGACATAAAAGTGAGAAAATCAGCAGAAAATAGTCTTTTAGGGATGTATGCTTGTCTTAGCAACCCGGGTTGTCATAACAAAATAACATAGACTGGGTAACTTAAACAACAGAAATGTATTTTCTCACAGTTCTAGAGGCTAGAAATTCAAGATCAAGGTGCCAGCATGGTTGGTTTCCGATGAGCCCTCTCCTTCTGGCTGGTAGACAGCTACCTTTTTGCTGTGTGTTCTCAGATGGCTGGGGGAGCAAGCTCTCTGGTCCCTTTTTTTTTTTTGAGTTGGAGTCTCACTCTGTCACCCAGACTGGAGTGCAGTGGCTGCTCCCGGCCACTGCAGCTTCGACCTGCTGGGCTCTGGCGATCCTTCCGCCTCTGCCTTCCAAGTAACTGGAACTACAGGTGCGCGCTACCACGCCCGGCTCATTTTTGGTTTATTGTAGAGATGAGGTCTCACCAAGTTGCCCAGGCGGGTCTCGAACCCACGGGCTCAGGCAATTCACTCACCTCAGGCTCCCAAAGGCATGGGATTACAGGCTGAGCGACCGAGCCTGGCTGTGGTCCCTTCTTATAAGGCTACGATCCCTTCATGAGGTCCTTACCCTCATGACCTCATCTAAAACTAATTATCTCCAAAGGCCTCTTCTCCAAATACCACAATGGGGGGGGTTAGGACTTCATCAGATGGATTTTGGGGGGACACAGTTCATTCAATAACAGCGCTCTTCTGATTTTTCTTATATTTTTTTTCCATTTGTTGAAATTGTTTTGTATCTTTCTCTTTTTGGTCGATAGTCTACTTATTAGCATTTTCTAGTGTCATTGAAAATTCTAAGTGACATAATTATCCAATAGCCCTTGTATATGCCAGAGGGCATTTTTGTTTAGTAACTAAGCATTTCTACGATAGTTTTTAGTTTTTATAATTGTTAAGGTTCTAAATCTATTAATACTATGAGTTCTAAATACTTACAATTTAAAAATACTAATGAATTAGACTAAGAGTTTAGGGAAATAAAATCTAGGCAAGTAATTCGTATTAATTACTTGTTCCTTCTGCCTGTGTACATTTGCTACTAACTACTTTTATCTATAACTCTCCCTAAATGTTAAAGAAGGAAAACAAATTAGGTTGGTTTACATCAATGATGTGTTTAGTTTTCCTCAGACTCAAAAATAACATGATTTTCTACCTAAAACAATAATTTTCATTTAGTTTTTAGACCACCTAGATAAATATTTTAGTTCTCATGTAAGCAGTTAATTAATTAAGTGCTTTATTCTGTAGACCAAGCCACTCTAGAGGACATGGAGAAGTCTGTGAATGATGATATGAAACGAATCATACCTTGGATTCAGCAACTTAAGTAAGCTTATTTATTTAGCTCAAGACTAAAAGTGGAAACCTATTTTGACAAGATATATTTTCTTCTTCGTCATTACTCTTGATCAGTCACTGTCCTTAAGGTTTATGACATGAAACTTGAGTGCGTTTTGGTACCTTAGAATCTAAATTTTCTTGGAATAGTTCCAAGATGGCAGTCTCTCATATCAAATTCCCCTCTAGAGCAAATGTAAGTGTGAAGGGCATGGCACTCAAATTTCATGCCTTGCCTTATTTTCTTCTGTACAAGCACTTTACAAATCACTTACACAATGAATTTTATTGTATCAAGTGTTCTCTGTAATAAAGTCTTATTTGTTCTTATACAGGATAATCTTCATGGTATGAATCTACCAGCTGACACTTTCAGAGGTGTCTTTTCTGCTTCTCTAATACTATCAATCAACTTGTCTCAGAACCCTTTGAATGCTTCATACCGTTAAACTAAATAAAATTGAAAATGGAGCTATAGATAATTCTGTGGGGTTTCATTACCACCCTGATACACAAAGGTACCCTTATGGCAACTCTAACAAGCTCTCTTTTACAAATTAATAAAACAGGCCAGGCACAGTGGCTAATGCCTATAATCCCAGTGGTTTGGGAGACTGTGGCGGGAGGATCACTTGAGACCAGCCTGGGCAACAGAGCAAGACCTTTTCTCTACCAAAAAAAAAAAAGTTAGCTAGGTGTTGTGGTGCACACCTATAGTCCCAGCTACTTGGGAGGCTGAGGCAGAAGGATCATTTGAACCCAGGAGACCAAGGCTATGGTGAGCCACGGTCATGCCATTGCACTCCAGCTTGGGTGACAGAGTGAAACCCTGTCTCAAAAAAAAAAAAAAAAAATTAACAATAAAATTAATGAAGCAGAATTTCAAGGTATAAAAAAATTTCAGAGATTAAAATCAAAATTGGCAAAAGGGGCATGGGGGAGGATAGAAAACCAAAAAAATACTGTTTAGAGGTATTGTTGTTTTTTAGCATCACTTTTATACATTTTGGCTAAGCAAGCAAGGTGTAAATACCTAACATGCTTAATAATTTGCAACTTGCATAACTTGAGGTTGTTTATGTGGCAGTTTTAGCTATTAGAAATATAAACTAAAACCAGTAAATCTAAGTTCCAAAAAACCTTTAACTTATCAAATGTGTGCCTCTACTTAAACTCAAGTAATTTGTTTATGAGAAAAGTCCCCTGATTGTCACTTATATATAACAGTGCTTCTCAAATGATCTATGGTGAATAACCAGTTTATCACTAATCTATCATGGGACATTATTTTTTTGAAAGAATTTTATTGAGGTAGAATTTATACCATAAAAAGCCCACCCATTTAAAGTGTTCAATTCAATTAGTTGTAATACATTTACAGAATATTGCAAAGTTCACTTTTAGAACATGTGGAACATTTTCATCTCCCAAAGAAATGTCCATTTATAGCTAATAACCATTCCCAACCCCAGACAACTACAAATCGACTTTCTGTTTCTATAAATTTGCCTTTTCTGGACATTTTCATATAAGTGGAATCATAAAATATAAAAGCCAGTCCTTTGTAACTGACTGGCTTATATCACTTAGCATGTTTTAAAGTTTCATCTATATTGTAGCATGTATCAGTACTTCATTTCTTTTTATGGCTGAATAATATTTCACTGTTTGGATATACCACATTTTGTTTATTTATTCATCAACTGATGAAAATGTGGATTGCTTCCACTTTTTGGTTATTATGCATAATGATGCTATGAACATTCATGTGCAGGTCTGTGTGTGGACATATGTTTTCTTTTGTCTTGGGTAGACACCTAGGAGTAGAATTGCAGGGCATACAGTAAATTTGTCTAACTTTTTAAAGAAACTGCCAGACTGTTTTCCAAAGTGGCTGTGCTGTTTTATAGTCCTATCAGCAGTATGTGACAGTTTTCATTTCGCTACATTCTTTCCAGCATATGTTAGTCTCTGTGAATGTAGATATCTTAATACGTGTAAAGAGGTATCTTATTATGATTTTAATTTACATTTTCCTAATGACTAATGAGGTTGAACTTCTGTTCATGTGATTACTTTTTTTTAATAATGTGTAAAAAAAGAAATAATTCTAGAAAAAAATGAAAAAACATGTACAAAATATAAGCTCCATTGGTTTTTAGTAGAGTCAATAGACATAAAATTACACTCCAGTAAATATAATCAGAACAAACATAACATAGGAAAAAAAATTATGGAAACCATGCACATTTTTCTAGTGAAAGTGTACATATAGGAAATTAATATAGAAAATAGCTTAGACTCAAATTTTCTGTTCCACAAAATCCTAACAAAAGATCAAGAGTGAGATAGTGATTCCAGATACACTTTGAAAAGAGCACCTTGTATATCAAAATTTAGAATTTTTAATATGACTAGTGAGCTTGTTTCTTATTTGTTATAACTTGGTTGGATTGATGATAATGCTAATCATGAGAGATGCCTTTTGATTTTCTTTTAATAACATGCATAGTAGAGATACCAGTCTCACAAAAATATGTTAATAGCAATCAAAGAGATTTGAAAGAAATTTTAGCAAGTTCAAGATACTCATTTTTAACTTTTTCGAAAATGAAGCAAGTGGTGGTATTTTTCAAAATTTATCTTCATTCCTCCGTTAGTAGCCAGTTCCAGCATTTGATCCTGCAAAGTTATGGCTAAATTTAAGTTGTCTTTCAATGAAAAAAAATGGTTTACAGATGAACACTTGGGTAACAGTTGATAAATTACCCTTAAAATGTCATATAGCGTGGTTTTACTGCACATGACTAGTATATAGTTTGGACCGCATGCAGCTTGCCACCCAAATGCAACAGCACCCAAACTGATCTATACTCTATTCATCAAGGTGAGCCTGCTGATCATGAACTTGGATGTTGTGGCATTGTTTTGTTACTCTGAAAATTCTTATTTTCTGTATTTATTTCATTTCGCATCAATGAGAGTTTGTAAACCAGTCATTTTCTCCTTTCTGCATATTTTATGATAGGACATCTCAGCCTTAAGAATAGACAGTCAAATAAAAGGAATGAGAGGAGTACTGTAGTAAAAGCATCAAAGTGAAATCTGATGTTTTAGGGAGAAGGGAAAGCAGTTAATTCATACTTACTGGCCCTAGGTTGGTATACTAGGCACTCACACATACACAATATAAAAACTGGGGCTATATATCACCGGAAAAATGAGGTACTTTGTACTTATTCTTGTTTTATGAACACGAGGCATTTGATAAAGAATGTTGACATTAGATTGCACTGTCTTTAACCCATAGGAGATCTATCATTCCCTTTAATAAGTTAATGTCTCAGCCTTACAGTTAATTCTACCTTAAAATTGGTCAAAATTATTGAAATTGCAGTTTAAATTTCTTAAACTAGAGCTAGCAGTCTAATACAAAACTGGAGAAATGATTTGTCATTATGGTCTTGTGTCCTTTTATTCGGTAAATTTCAATCAGTTGGTGTTTTAGTGGTCTTTGTAAATCAGTAGCACATAATTAATTGGAAAAGTCTATTATTTTATGTGGATTCTCTCATTTAAATTCAGGTTTTGGCTTGGACAACAGCGTTGCAAACAATCTATAAAACATCTGCCTACAATAAGCACTGAAACATTGCAACTTTCCAATTACGCAACTCATCCTGTTGGAAAGCTTTCTAAGCATAAACTGTTCATTAAACTTACCCGCCTTCCACAGTACTACATTGTAAGTATGCAAATGACTGATTTGCAGTGATTGAGTTCAGTAATTATGTTGGTATTTTGAATGATTTATTGTTTAATTTGCAAATGAACTTTATTGAATGTTTGATTTTCATAGAGTGATTCTTAACACAGGTATAGGGATTGGGGATTAAGGATAAAGTCATACCTCAGTTGGAGAATATAAGGCATATGTATATCTCTCACTCTAGGATCTCTTCTACGGTAAGGCTTAGTGGAAAGAGGCATTGCCCTTGTAAGAAGAAAATATTTGAGAGTAACTGCTGTGAAGATTTGGAGATATTTTGGTGTCAGATAAACTTGCTTAATTTTGGTTAACTGCTAGCTTGTGTAATGCAGTCCTTTAAATATGGACTGGCTGAGGTAGCTTTATTTTCTCATCCTGAATTGATTGAAGGCGATATCCATTTTATTGATTGCATGTGCCTTTCAGTATGCACTGAGGTCCTTTCTTGCTCCTTTTTTTTCACTCTTTCTAGGTGTTTTTCAGTTAGTTTCTTTGAGATCTTTGAATTGGTTAAAATTAGCAAGAATTTGAAATATGAACTCACCCTGAATATATTTTCTTGCTTGTAGAAATTTCTGTATATGTCAAGTAGATACTATTGGCTCAGAATCTAAGATGTTTGAAAAATTTTAATTCAAGATTGTTGGTTGAGGGTAATAGTGAATTTTTAAAGATTTTGAGCTGTACTTTTTAAAAATATTATCTTAAAAAAGTACCCCATGTAGACTGATTTATCTTAAGTTAGGTTTACTTACGTAGGCTAATGAGTCTGTCATTCATGTGAACGTCAGTTTATTCTGAATTTTAAAACACCAGCTGTGGAATTAGATTTGGCACACAACAAAATGCTGTTGTTTCATTTCTCAGTGAGCTTGTTTGGTCTTTATGTGAAATGACAATGGAGAATACATACATCATAGCCAAACCTGTGAAGTTCAGAGATCTTTTATACTCAGCTACACACAAAATAAAATAAAAATAGTTATAAGTTATTCTTTTCTGACCTTTTTTTTTTTGAGTTGGAGTCTCACTCTCTCACCCAGGCTGGAGTGCAGTGGTGCACTCACAGCCACTCCAACGTCAACCTGCTGGGCTCTGGCGATCCTTCTGTCTCAGCCTTCCAAGTAGCCAGAACTATAGGCATGCGCTACTGTGCCCGGCTAATTTTGTTTTTTTTTTGATTTATTGTAGAGACGAAATCTCGCCAAGTTGCTTGAGCTAGTCTCAAACCCGTGGGCTCAGGCAGTCCACTCGCCTCTGTCTTTCAAAGTGCTGGGATTACAGGCTGAACCACTGAGCCCAGTCGTATGACCTTATTTAACATCAACGAACAGTCAGGCGTTAGTGTCAGTGACCAGTGACTTATTATAAAACAATAATTTGTTTCATGTCATTTAGACCAAAACTGAATATACTTCTTGTTCTCTAGATTTATCACTTAGGGATGATATATTCATAGAGTTGGAAGTAACTACTGTAATGGACATTAAGAAGAACAGAGGAAAGGCTTGTTGCAGTTGATCTCCCTTTAAATGTCTTTTTTTAAAATATAAAGATGTGGGGTACAATTCAGGGTTAGGTATACAAACATTGATGATGCAGGTATCCTTGTTAATGAGGTATGCCCCTCCCTTCCCTAGCAGTTTCCTCAACTGCCAGTCCCACCCCCCCTTAAATGTCTTGTTGTCATTATACTTTTTCTGGTTAGTTTTGTTGAGATGTAATTTACATATAGTAAAACTTTAGACTTTTTAGTATGAGTTTTGATAAATGAATACTGTTGTATAACCTCTATCTCAGTAAGGACACAGAATAGTTCTGTCACTCCCCAAAATTTGCTCATGCTGCCCCTTTATAGTCAACTTGAACCTAGGAGTTTGAAACCAACTAGTAACCACTGATCTATTTTCTGTCTCTACAGTTTTGCCTTTTCAATCTAGTTTCTTTCACTATCTTTGACACTTATCCATTCCACGTTATAGATGTACCAGAGTTTGAGTTTAGTTACCTATTGAAGGACATCTGGGGTATTTCCAATTTGGGTAGTTATGACTAAAGTTGCTATAAACACTTGCATATCGATTTTTGTGTGAACATAAGTTTTCATTTCTTATTTCATTTTGAAGACATAATTAGGATTTGGATTGTTGGGTCATATGGTAAGTGTATTTAACTTTATAGGAAACTGCCTATTTTCCACAGTGGTGTACAGCATTTTGCATTTCCATCAGCAATATGTGTGAGTTCTAGTTGCTCCTCATTCTTGCCAGCAATTGGTTATCGTGATAAAAAAAAAATATTTTAGCCATTCTGTTAGGTGTATAGTGGTATCGTATAATCTTATTTATACCGTCCTGCATGAGAGGGGAGTGAGGGAGAAGGAAGGCAAGAAGAAAGATGGAAAAGTATGTGTCTTGGTCAGAGCCTTTTCTAATGGCATTTATTTCTGTCACTAAAGTATTTAGGGGGCTCTTCTTAAATTTTGTCTAGACTTTGAAAACAGGAAGCTGGTATAGTGGGTAAGAACAAGGTCCGTGGAGCCAAACTTCTGGGATCAAAGCATGAGTCTGTCACTCATTAAGCTGTGTGGCCTTGGGCAACAGCAGACTTGCTTTTTTTTGTGCCTCAGTTTCCTCATCAGAAAAATAAAGATAATAATTACTTCACAAAGTTATTAGGAGGATTTAAATGTGTTAACATCTGTAAATTAGATGTGGGGTTTTTTTTGTTTTTGTTTTTTTTGTTTTTTTCTTGTTGCCCAGGCTGGAGCGCAGTGGCATGCTGACAGCCACCGCAGCCTCGGCATGCTTGGCTCAGGCGACCCTTCTGCCTCAGCCTTCCAAGTAGCTGGAAGTACAGATGCACACCACCATGCCTGGCTAGTTTTTGTGTGTATGTGATTTATTGTAGAGACGAGGTCTCACCAAGTTGCCCAGGCTGGTCTTGAACCCCCGGTCTCAGGCATTCCTCTTGCCTTGGCCTCCCAAAGTGCTGGGATTACAGACTGAACCACCGTGCCTGGCCAGATACGGTTTTTAAGACATGAGGCAGCAATAAGGCTTAAGTACTTAGGACAGCACTTGGCACATGATTGTCATTGATGTTATCCTCACAGTGACCATATTTTCCGATTGAAAAATCAAGGTTTATTTTTGCATGTGTCCAAGTATGAGAGATAGTTATTTTTCTCTAATATTGGAATTTTTAGGGTGTTTGAATGGTTAGGGGAGACAGCAGGGCAATTGTGAAATAGACATCACTCTAGAAAATCTAGGAGACCCATTGGACTTGAGCATACAGTGTTTTTCAGTTTATAAGCTGAGGTATGAATACTAAGAAGACCTAATGCTAATAGTTTAAATCTTTCTTTTGATATAATTTATGGTTACTTTTACTTTTATCATTCTTTAATCTCATCTATTTTTGGAAAAGAAATTTTGTATTTGCTGGAAATGCTTTTTTTGACATCATGATTGATTTTTTTAAAAAGACATTTACATTAGATTTCTTATTCTGTGTCATACTTGATATATGGAGGAAAATATCTGACACCGCTTACTTCTCTGAGTGTAATTTCTGATTTGGGCCTTTTTAGGTTGTGGAGATGTTGGAGGTTCCCAATAAACCCACACAGCTGTCCTACAGGTACTACTTTATGTCTGTGAGCACTGCAGATCGTGAAGACAGCCCTGTCGCAGCACTGCTGCTGCAGCAGTTTAAGGATAACATCCAGGACTTGGTTTTTCGTGTAAAAACTGGGAAACAGACCCAAACTGGTACCAAGCGCAAGGTATGATCCTATACGGAAATGAGCACAGAATTTGTGTGTATTAAACTTTGTTGGATTCTTATTTTTAATATGGGAAAGAATTAGATGTGGTTTTTATGAGACTAGGCGACAATAAGGCTTAAGTAGCAATTGTCTACATTTTCTTGAAAATGCTTCTCTTTTAATTAATAATTATTCACCATTTTCCATAAGTTAACTTGTTAAACACACAATATTTATTACTAAGTGACGAGTGTTTAGGTCAGTATTTGCTCAATAAGCATTTCTTGAAAGAATATATGATAACATTTGTTATGGTTAACCCCCAGCTTTGTTTCAGTAGTTTAACTGTCTTAATGAATTGTATTACATGTACTTTTTTACCCACTTATGTTCTTTATTTAAATTTTAGTTGTCTGATGATCCATGTCCAGTAGAATCCAAGAAAACCAAACGACCAGAAGTGTGTGCCTTCAATAAAATTCTAGCTCACTTTGTCGCAATGTGTGATACAAATATGCCATTTGTAGGACTTCGGTTGGAGGTAATATTTTGGAACAATTCTGGATACCCTAATGAAAGAGTAATTTTTAAAATGTCTTGCTAAAGTTACATGGATTCCATTAGGAGAACCAGAATGGTTGTGATCCTGTTCATTTTTGGAGGGGTAAAGGGTTGCAATCATAGTGTCCCATAGTATACATGTAAAACATGACATAAACTGTTTCGTCTCTCTGATTCTAGATTCTGGGCCTTCTGCTCTTTATGAAATTGAAATACAGATTCTTTCCTTTTACAAAGAAACAGACATCTTATTTTCATAACCTCTTAGTAGGAACATTGTTTAAGCCTATTAGAGATGGTTAGTTGATAAAAGGGTGACTTATTTTTGAGTTGGCGAAGCCATGTGTATTGCATAAGCACTGCACTTAAGCAGTAAATAAAACTGGGCTCCTTTGAGAGAAGCAGATCAGAAACAGTATTAAACTAAACTTTTTCTTTTGTCACATGGCAGAAGCAATAGGCTTATGCAGTGTACATGTTGCAAGTGTACATTAGTGTCTTTCAAGAATACACAGTTGTGATATATCCAGCATGATCCCCAAACACGAAAGGGAGGTCACAGAACCTGTATGTTTTATATTTCCATAAAAGCATTCAGCCAAGGGTTGCCAGCTTCAAAAGTGTTACACTAAAACCATAATTGTTTTCCTGTAGTTTAAAGTTTTACATTTTGTAATAATTCCCTCCTCTATAAGTTAATGTCTTGGAGACCTGGAAATATGCAGATAGACTTTTTCAGTTGGGCTGATTATGATGGCCCCAAGACTTGAAGACTTGTTGAAAATAAGTCTTCTTTTCATGCTTTATAACAGAGGTTGGCAGACTTTTTCTGTAAAGGAGCGGATCCTGTATATTTTATATTTTGTGGGTCATATGGTGTCTGTCAAATCTGCTATTGTAGTATGAACCAGCCATAGTTGATATTTAAACAAATGAGTATGGTTGTGTTACAGTAAAACTTTATTTACAAAAATGGGCAATGGACTGGATTTGGCACATGAGCTGTTGTTTGCTTTGGGATCTGCCTGCAGAGGATAAGGTGTAAAATTGTGAAGAGCCTAGGGAGAAACCTAAGCTCAGAAACAGGCACCTAAAATAAGTACTTGTCCTTGATGACCCAGCTCCTAGGTACTGTGAGTCTGATGAGTGTCCTTTTATTTGGGTACGGGCCATAACTCCTAAACTGTGATGTGCATGTTTCCTGTGGACTTGACTATATTCTAGTCTTTTCTTGACTCTTACTGTGTTGCTTGGATTGATTATATAAATGCCATTCAGTTATTACCTTTGCAGTGGGAAAGGAGGATACATAGTGGTGGGGCAAAGCAATGCATTTTTGTTCTCTCTTCCCCTTCCCACAGGCCAGAATTCACAAAAACGTGTGTCTGTAGGCCCACTTAGGCTAAAAACTATAGATCTTTGTCCTCTCTGTCCCCTTTTTCTGTATTCCTGTACATGTTGCACACTTAGGACACATAAGTACATTCTTAGTAGGCTATTGAACTCAATCAAGCTGTTACAAATTTACCTACTTCTCAGCTGGGTGTGGTGACTCATGCTTATAATCGCACTTTGGGAGGCCGAGGTGAGAGGATTGCTTGAGCCCAGGAGTTTGAGACCCACCTGGGCAACTTGATGAGACCTCATCTCTACAATAAATTTAAAAATTTGCTGGGTGTGGTGGCGCATGCCTATAGTTCCAGCTAATTGGAAGGCTGAGGCGGAAGAATCGCCTGAGCACAGCAGGTCAAGGCTGCAGTGGCCATGAGCAGCGTGCCACTGCATGCCAGCCGGGGCAATTGAGTGAGACTCCAACTAAAAAAAAAATTTTTTTTTTTACCTACTTCTCAGTGATAAAAGCAAACAAACATATTTTTGCTTAATTTAAACTGAAATGTTAATAATGAAATTAAATCTTACCAGAGATGTTTATATCTCTGATTGATAGAATAGTGGCAACATTTTTGAGCTGTCCCACGCATCAGTTCTTTTGAATCTGACCTCATATTGCCTATTTGGTTAGCATCTATTTTTCTAACTCTCTGCCTTTCCCAGGCCCAAAGAGCAGGACTTACTCAAATACTTAGGGCTTTCTTAAATCCTTTCCAGGACACGATGGGTCTAAATAAACAAATAGTTTGTCATATAAGACTCGGGGATATCTGCCAAAGGAAAGCATTTCTTTGGTAGATCAGGTGACTTTCTGGCATCTCTTAATAACTTGTAATTCCATGGAAAGGGTTTTAGGCACTATTCCTGCATTATTTTTTTTTTTAACTCACTTTCTGAATCTTTCAATTGGGAAAGAGATCTCATTGGGTAAATGCACAAGTTGGAAATATTTTCTTAGGTTTCACATAGGAAATAGTTTAGTTGTTAAAAAATATATTTCAGAAAAATTATAACTGAAAAATATTGTTAATGATTAGAAATGAAATATGACTGATTTAGAATTTTTTTTGAGCAAACATAATAGAATTATGCAAGAAAACACATTATTATTTTCTAGTTGTCTCATTTGGGACCTCTAGGATTGATTCTAGATTACTTTTGGCTCACTGCAAAACTTAAATCAATCTTCTGAATTTTGAATATTTGCTATCTGTGGAGGTGTTTTTTTTTTTTTTTGAGTTGGCGTCTCACTTGGTCGCCCAGACTGGAGTGCAGTGGCCGCTCCCGGCCACCGCAGCCTCGACCTGCTCGGCTCCGGCGATCCTTCCGCCTCAGCCTTCCGAGTAGCCGGAATTACAGGCGCGCGCTACCACGCCCGGCTGATTTTTTGATTTATTGTAGAGATGAGGTCTCGCTGCCCAGGCGGGTCGA